GAACATCCCACGCACGTTTCTTGAATGCCAACTAAAGTTTGGCCGTACCCTGCTTTTATCATTATGTTAGCAAGCATACATTAAGACAATGATACAAGTAGAAGCGCTCTGGATAGTCACCAAGTCACAGTGTGTTCACATGTACGCGATCGTCAGAGACCACGGAGGTATTCTTACCCCCCCAAAAAAAAAATTCTCCTTGAATTTACACTGATCTCAGAAATTGTCTCTGGAGTTCTAAAATGGCCTGAAATCCGCCGAACAGCGGAAATGTCTCATGCCTGTCAGAAGTAAAGGTTAGTCTTAACGTTATTGTCAACGTCAACTTTTTCTCATTACAGCATTGTTGTTAGAGTTTACTCGTTCCGAAATACGGGGGCTACTCACGTGAGAGTACTTGCAGCTTTGTGTTGATGGCTTTCAGCGTCTCGTCATCGTCCCCATCCTGGTGCAGCAGCACCAGCTGCCTCACGTGGTTGCGCACACTGCCAACACACAACCAACATGCAGACGCATTACACAACTAATAACGCTACTCGCGCAAATGCACTCCCGACCACCGCCACTACACGCTGCTTACCATTCACAATCCCCTAATTGGCGAGTCGGAAGAGATCCGACCAACCTCGACTCTGTTTAAGACATCATTTCGAACAGAGATCAGAAAGAACACGACTAGCAAAAAAATAACCTACTATTAAACATACCACGCTAACAACAGACATACCTGTGGTCAACCCTACAGAACCGTCACCCGTCTGCAAAGGACACTTTTTAGGAGCTTGGGCATATCCCACGAGTGACCTTGCAGACAGATTTGAATGCAAATCGACTCAACCGCTACCGGACGGAATTAGAATACAGAATAGCGAACTGTGCGTCGCTGTGCCGCCGGCTGGTTGAGCGAACGCTGCCGTCCCCCCCCCCCACCACCCCGCCGCCGCACGCGCGCGAACTCACATGTTCTGGCACTTGAACAGCTCGTTAATGGCCTTGACTGCGTGGTCGTCGACGGTCGCGTAGAGCTGGTAGAGGCGCTTCATGCGCTCGGACGTGTCGAGCGAGTACGGCACGAGACACGTGTGCAGGATCTTCTCAACCAACAACCTGAAACGACGACGACGACGTGCGACGTGACAACAGCGACGACGGTGACGACGGTGATGTGGGTGATGATGGTGACGGGGTGACTATGACGACGGTGACAGGGGTGACGACGGTGATGTGGGTGATGATGGTGACGGGGGTGACTATGACGACGGTGACAGAGGTGACGACAGTGACAGGGGTGACGATGGTGACGGGG